GCAGCCTCGTTATATGAGCCATGAGGCTGCAGACAGGCTGTTCGGCCATTGCTGCGTCGTCGTTCCCTCTTGTCGAGACGACGGACGAAAGCTGCTCAGCCACTCTGGCTGGGAGGACCTACAAAGTCAATCAAACCATAACAACCAGATAAGGGAGTATCCCGTTCACGTGCCTGTACACGCCTCCGGCACCGGGACACTGGCAGCGAGTGTGGAAAGGGAAGATCAGGAATTGACGCCGCGTGTAAAAGGTGAGGGAACAAGGGAACATACCAGACACTCCCTGCCCTTCTCATACGCAGATTCCGCCCACTGCTAGCGGCAGCGGACCCGTTGGGCTCCTGGCTCTCCCGAGCACTGGTACGGAGGACCTTGGAGAGTTGATCTGGGCGGCATCTTATTCAAGGCTGCTATTGTCACCCCGCAGTTCAGATCTCGGAAGCTGCAGGCAGGTATATCAATACATACTCCCCAGTACGCGATCACGTCTGATCTCGATAAATGCAGACGGTTAAATATCTTGCTAGGGATATCCCTCTATCTGCCCCGCCCCATTACGACTATCACGACTACTCAGTGCTACACAGCCAGGATGTTCAGCTTTATGCGGCGGCGTAATGACTCTGTGATTCCGCCGACCCCCGCACCTGGGCCTGTAGCCATGTTATTCCCAACGACGGTGAATGCGACGTACAAGGCCCCGAGGGCACCACGGCTGAGCAGTCGGCCATTACCTGAATCACTTTCGCCGCCACAGCCACGAAGGTTCACCCCCACAGGAGATGAGGATTATGTCGTTCCAGGCCCCGGGGGCTCCATGCTCTTTGCACCTAAGCCGCATCGGCCCGGGGATGCGAGCATCGTTCACCTTCGATATGTAGCTCAACAAGAGCACGCTACGCACCATGACAGCCGTGCACGTCCCACACACCAGTCCGCCCTCGCGTTGACAGGGATCCCTATCGAGACAATGCAGGCACCGCAGCTGCAGTCTCAATTGGAACCTCGACCGCAATCGCGAGCCAGACAACAGTCGCAACCGCAGCCGCCGCCTCGGCCGCAAGCACATCACCATCATACCCCGCGTCCTAGGGCTACCTCGACCACCGCTCCCCCCGCCACAGGGAGGCCTCCACCCAAGTCTATTCTGAAGAAACGTACGTTGCGAATTCATACCACGCGCGACTGAGAGCTGATACGACGTTCTTTGGCAGCGAGACAGGATCCGCCACAGCCGGAGTCATCACCAGCGGACGACCCGCCCGTTCGCCCCTCCACCAGAGCATCGCGGAGGTCAGGTAGCTCACCTCAGTCGCCCCTCGAACGAAGTGCCTCGAGCCACGCAGGCACTGCGAGCACTGGAGGCTCGCGTTCATCGCCTGTCGAATCCCGTGCTAGCTCTACACGGCCGACTCCAAAGCCGATCTTGAAGAAACGTAAGTCTAGGGCAGCTGTCTCGACTATCCTGTCGTACTGACACTGGCCGTAGCCAAACATCCTCTGCCCACTGAGACGCCTATTCACGAATTCTTGCTCGAATATAATCGCGATGTACGGCCGAATCAACACTTGATATACTTCAACCTCGCGCCAAAGATCGAGTTTATGAATGTTCGCGATCACTCCTTGAAGAGTTCACCACAACTCCCTCCGCTGGAGCTGCAAAGGATCCCTGCGTCGGCATTAGGACCCAAATTCACTCACATGGTCATTCGCTGTGAACGTGCCCCCATGTGGGAGATCGTTGCCGACAATGAGAGAGGATTAACCTGCTGGGATGTCTTCAAGGCACTTTGGGACTCGTTCCGAACACCACTTACCGACGAAGAGTTAGCCATCTTACGGTCACAGCCCCAGCATGCAAACAAGGAACTGGATATCCGTGCTGATGTACTGGGTCATTGCTGCATCTTCATTGGGCTGAGAGTGAACGCGAACGGCGATGCATGGGACTTGATGCTGGGTAAGGACGCAGACCCTAAAGGTCTTAACATCATGCGGCGCCGCCGTTGATTCACCTGTGAGAACGAATTCGTGGTGGTGAGCTCTGTCATACGTCTAGCAAAGGAAACAGGGTGCTCACAATCTCTGTAGAACTGGATTTCATGTTGTTAGTATTCCCCGCTCTTTGACGACAATTTCATTCTTTTCTCGTATGACTCTGGGAGCTCAGTTACTCTACCGTTTCAATGTTTCAGTCTCGATTGTATCACTTACACCAGATCAACACCCCATTCAGCTACCATCGTATTCTGAGAATCCGCAACACACCATTCATGTATCCCATAATGTTCTATGTGCAATTGAATTCATGTATCCCTCCTCGACAATCTAATGACACATACTCACCTTTCATTGCGAGATTACGTCGTTCGACGTACTTGTCGGAGTAACAGGCTTCCAATGGAACGTCCCCTGAGGGACTGGTTCATCAACAACATGTACGTCGTGGCGCGTTCCTTCCAAGATAAGCCTGGCAATGTGATATTCGGTACACGCAAGGAAGGCATGTGTTCAACGAGAGACGCTACACGAGTTGTCCATGAACGCTTGATCCTGAGCAAGATGACCTTCCTCCGATCTCAGCAGGGGAGAGGAGGATATTCTCCGCCCAGAATAGGTGAAATAGTCCCGGATTCCGCACTATCATTGGCGATCTCTTCATTGCATCCGGTTAGAGGAGGAGATCCTGCCATCGGGTACTGTGCTGTGTTTACGACATCCCGAGAGTATTCAATGGTGTGGCGCAAGGAAACGAGCAGAGGGGCGAACGAGGACTGGCTGCACCGCAGATCCTGGGATGCTGAGAACACGGAGACCTACCACAAACCGAACAGTCGGACTGGCAATGAATGTTCATGTAACCGCATATTTTGCTGCCAAATGCTCTATTTCTAGCAATCAGCACTACACTGCCTGGTGAATAGGTAATCGCAGATGTAACTGTGTCATAGAGTGAAACACAGCTACTCGCTCTTGAGCGTTCTCGCTGTAGATACTTGTCAATCATAGGCATTGCTTGAATTTCTAACATACCGTTCAATTGAGCATACGCCCTGTTGCTTGCAAGAATTCCAGAGGAATACAATCAATATAGGGTACCCAGATGGGGATAGCGTGTCGATTCATGTCTGCTCAATGCATTCCGTCATCATTGATGAGTATCGATTCCCCAGTGACCAAGGAATATCTTTGAGCACATCATTGCACAGAAGCACTATGAGATTGGGATGACAAGAAGAAGGAAGGTGAGTGGAAGGATGCAACTGCCAACGTGTTGTTATGGGCACCAAAGAAAAGACGTAGTTGAAATCCAAGGAATACAGCGTCTCAACGTCAACCGCGTTGCTTTCCATATACGAACAAATTTCACGATACACAGCCGAGTTCCGAAAATGGTAATGGACAATAAGTTCAACGCGGCCAAGACAAAGCTGCACTGGTATCCCTGCGCATGCAATGGTCTACTCGGAATGGTGACCTGAACACTGCTTCTGTATAGTGCACTGGCAAGTACCTTCCACTTGAACTCCTTCTAACAGAGCAATTGTCTGCCCACCGTCACATTCACCTCCTACTTCGACGTTCGTGAACATATACCACCATTCCATATGGTGTTTTTCAAACACTTGCGCAAGGGGAAGGAAAATAGTTCTTCCTCAAATGCTTTCAACAGCAATGACGCGCCGCCGGAATGGACACCTGCACCTGAACAATCCCATACCACAGGTCTCTATAGTGACGCGACGAATAATGATTTCGAGAGTGCAGAGGCATTCTGCGCCGCCAACCCACCTGATGCCCCCAGGCTACTTCCTTCCGACGTTGTAGATAGGATACGTACGGAAGGATGCAGAGTGTGGGATATCCAATGGCCGAGATCGTCTCGGTTTGTGGGCAATATTAGGAGGGTCGGTGAGAAGGGCGGAGACAAGAACGTAGTGACTGTCGCCACGAAGAGAGGTTGCAAAGATGTCTGTCTCTTCAGCGATTTGCCCATCATGGCCGGTCTATACGACATCCAAGGTAAACTTGGTGTCTACTTCGAAGTCCAGATTCATCGCATGGATGGTGTTATCGCGATAGGTCAGCACAGAGATATTTCTGCGATGATTAATGATCTTATACTAATGAAGGCCGCAGGGACTGCCTGTCGTCCATACCCTGATTGGAGATTCCCGGGGTGGAACAGGCTCAGCGCAGGCCTCCACTTGGACGACATGCGTAAATTCTACGAGGACCCTGACGGCGGTCGAGACTATACTCCCGAGCTCACTCGACTCAACCCTGGGGATTACATCGGCTGCGGCTACGAATTTAGCAGCACGAGTATCTTCTTCACTCATAATGGTCGACGACTACCCAATGCGTTCTCGGGGGCGTACGTTCCTCGCATGGACTACGACGTATACGCTGCTATAGGAGTTGAAGGTGCCTGTGAATTCGACGTGAATTTTGGTGGCGGACTATTCAAGTGGAAGGAGGGGAACGAATGGGCCTGGAGGGTGGAGGGTCATGTTGGGAAGCTCGCAGGCGGCCCCTCTGGGCTCGATGACGAGTTACCTTCATACAACGAAGTGCGTGGCTACGGCGGAAGGTGATTCATCGCGGCGGTTTCTGTGACCGAACATATGGGTCAGGCAGACAAGTTAATAGGCATTGAATACATTCTAATATCCTGGAAGGATATCCCCTGACTTCAAATGGAAGCGACATCGGCGTCCAACTCCTCAGCTGCTACTACTACACAGTAACCTCACTGGTATCCGGGCTGGGTCCGACAACTTGAGTGATTGCCCTTCAAGCGTGTCCGGGCATTCGCCGCAAAGCACTATTACGGGGTGCGTCAGACTTGAGTATACTTCTGTATCAATGCTAGTGTAGCTTGGTGAGAATCAAGCAAAACTCTAGGTCGACCATGGGGCCGTTGACTCGGAGGCCATGGTAGGGTGGATTTGTGTAAAACAGGTCATAATAACAGCTAGGAATGCCTTGGCACTGCCCGCCTAGCTCAATCGGATAGAGCGTCAGACTCTTATGCGGGCGATCTGAAGGCTGCGAGTTCGACCCTCGCGGTGGGCTAGAAGTGTTTTGTTGTTTTGTTTCGAGCCTTGAGTACTAGTGTTTGTGTGCTCCCCTCTCCTTTTCGCGAGAAAGACAGATGTTTTTTTTGTCAGATATCGCTAGCTACGAAACGCAAAAGCTTCTACTAGGAATACGTGCATGCGTTGATCACTTCGAGTGAGAATCTTCATCCACTTTGTACAAATGATCTTGGATCATGTCCAAAACACGAGTCACTTGCTTGCTTGGAGGACCGTTGTGGTCGCAATACTGCAAGCGGATACCGGCGAGTGTAATTGCAAAGGTGAAAATTTCCTGCGGCACGAAAAGTCGCCATGTTGGAGTTGCGAAGTAAATAACATATACATGCTGGCAACCGGCAGTAAGTCTCCGAATGTAAATGATCAAGAACAACCTATAACCTCACCTCGGAAGTGGGGGACTTCCACGCTCGTATTATATGGCTGCACTGGTCATTTTTCTCCGTGTATTCGCAGATACTACTAAACATGTTTCTGTGGTAGTTTCTCGTGATTCCTCTTCTGAGCCCATCGCATCATACACGACATTGTCTCAATATAACACGGAATGCTTACTGTACGTTGAATTGATCCGATGTGGGTCCAAGAAAGAGCTCTCTTCGGAAAGCTTGACAACGAGAGAAACAAGGAGGCTCGCAATCCCATCGTTGATGGGCATACCGGTGTTCGTGCCTTACACTGAACGTGTTCCAGTGGGCGAGAAAATGCACAGGAGGTTCTGGGCCCTCGCGCTTTCGTTACTCAAATTAGTACCGAAAGTGTCTGCATGTATACGTACAATATGCATGAATCATTTGCAAAGTTCTGACCCAACTCGGCGAGAAATGTCACCAATGAGGAGGATATGAGCGGTCGTAAACCTGCGGATGATCCCTGGGCCGGCGGCGTATTGTCGCTGCTACCTCCAACGCAAGTTGTAAACAGTTGACCAAATGACCGAGGACGTCACTTGGAACATCGGCAGGATTGCTTGGTTTGAAGGCGGCGTTGCGCTCTATATCGTCGAGTAATTGTGACCACGGGAGCGGAGTGGATGACGATCTGAGGGTCGCTAGAGCTTCAGGTGGCGGAGTAGACGAGACCAGAAGTTTAGACAATCCCTGTACGGTCGACGGCCATTCGTGAGGTTGTTGAATTATATGTACGTTTGGAGTAGACGACATGTCGGAGTGATACCTGTGGGAGTGGACGTGAAGCTTCGAAGAGGGGCAACAGGATCGTGTCGGTGAAGAACACCCTGGAGTAGGGCCGTCTTATACTAGAGTCCAGTCCTACACAGTAGTAGGTATGTATGTAGTAGGGCTGTTGAATTTTGACGTCTACATAGTACTTATTTACGTATAAACGATCAATTGGTGGTCAAGGTGATGTCTTTGGGAGCTTTCACTGAGATTGCTATGAAGACCCAAGTGTACAAAAATTATTGTGCCCACATACATACGTAGTGCATCACACATACAGGAAGTACGTGATATATATGGGGTGAAAACTGAAAAGTCGCTAGAAAAGTCAAATTCTTGGTGATTTAGCAGCTTAATGGGCGAATGAATTTACTTGCGCACCGATTGACCCCACAGTCATATGACGTTCCGTTTGTACAAAAATTAATTCCGGCAATATACATACATTTTGTGCAATACATATGGATTTTCATAGGTTTAACTGCTATACACATGGTATTTTCTCCACCGTGCAAATGTAAATGGCTGGGCGGGCGGTATGAAGGCCCAAGTGTACAAAAATTATTTTGCCCACATACATGCGTAGTGCATCACACATACAGGAAGTGCGTGATATATATGGGGTGAAAACTGAAAAGTCGCTAGAAAGGTCAAATTCTTGGTGATTTAGCAGATTAATGGGCGATTGAAGTTGCTTGCGCACTGATTGACCCCACAATCACCCTGATTCTGCTAAGTGGGTCTTGATACATATCATATCTGGTTCGAATTCTAGGATCTTGTCGCTTGAGGTCATCATTTGAATGTTTCTACCTAGGATAGATGGTCACTGTGCTTGGCCGCAATAGAAGCATGGTACTTTAAATGTTCTTGGTTCGCCCTCTCTTCAGAGCGAAATTGCGTAAGAAGCTTGCGCAAGTCCTCATATACATACGCGACCATGGAATCGGGACTTAGAGAATTTCACTCGAGGCACAGGCGCTTTAATTGGGCAGGAAATGCTTACTGGTCTACTCTGAGTCATCGAGCGCTTGTCGTAAGCGGTCGCGTCGCGTCGCACTCTGCCAGCAAGTGTCCGCCGCCTCTTTCTTCCTTCCTCTATCCTCTTCCTTCCCCCTCGCGCTTTGCCGTTCACTGTTCCCCCCTCATACACCCTCCCCCTCCACCCTTCTTTCTCTGTACTCAGTCCCTTCACGAGTACCGTGTTCGTTGCAGCCCCTCACATCATTCGGAGCCCTTGCCTTTTGACCCAGCTCGCTGTGGACAGGACATCGACGTGTCCTGCTGGCAAGCACTCGAGGGACTGAAGCGGTAGTGTCATTAATGGTGCGTGTCCTTTGCGGGCACTCAGGCTCAACTGTAGGCAGTCGTGGCATGGGTAATGGTCCTTGACTATGCCGGTGGGGGTAGAAATGGGGCTCATGATCTTGCGGTATGTGCTTGCTTTCAATTGCCCCCTCCTTGAGCTGATTAGTTTGATAGGACTACTATGATTATGAAGCTACTGCTGCTGACTGAACCCCGGTATAGTACACTTCCTGATTTCTATGGTTCAATAGCGCATGTGGAGTACTGTCCTGTAAATATGTACATATGTGTTGCAAATATATGTGTGTCGCTAACTAGTATGTGTGTGTATGTCTGAGTCCCTGCATATATGTATATACTCTTCATCCTGTATGTGTGTGTGTCAATTCATGTACGTATAAGCTCTTCATGGTATGTATGTCTCGCACCATTTATATGTGTATCGCTCACCCTGCGCCAGTTGAAGTGATTACAGTACCCTGATACACATAGAATGGGAATGTGTATCAGGCGAAAATGTATATGTATCAAACAAATCCATATGTATTAGGTAGAAATAATATTTGTACAAACGGAACTTCATAGGGCGGAGAGTCCGCACCACATGTACACATTTGAAGCTTTGAAGGATCATCACATGATACATAAGTGCATAGTTTCAGCAGAGTCGCGTTCCGCAAACATTATCAACGCAAGATTTGAATTTATGATATTTTGCGGTCAGAGATATACATGTGAACGAGTCCGTGATACATAGACACCTGAGGCATCATACATGGAGACCACCCGATACACAGCGGCGTCGTGATACAGAGCGAGGTCATGATACACAACGGGGTCATGATACACAGCGAGGTAATGATACACAGAGCGGTGTCGTGATACAGAGCGAGGTCGTGATACACAACGGGGTCATGATACACAACGGGGTCATGATACACAGCGGGGTAATGATACACAGCGGGGTCGCAATACACAAGCGGGGTCGTAACACGTTGTGATACATAGGGGTTTGCCAGTGTCATACACACTCGAGAAGGCTCGTATACGCAGAGACAAACAACCGCGGGACAACATGCAACGCAACCAAGAGAGATGCATACCGAGGACAGCGGGCCCCAGTATTACAAAGACTGACAACAAAATCTACGCAAACAGACCATGATGACACTGCAGGTAGAACCAGCAACCCTGAACACGACATCTACCAAGACAGAGGGCTCTAACAATGCCAAGTTCCTACCCCCCCTCCGACTCGTCACTAGTGGTCCTCAGAAACGGAGAACTGCTTGACACGTCAACATGGTTTTCAAGCAAAGATAATACGCGACAATGCTCACCGGTGAATATCTCCGACACCAATCAACCAGAGACTCTGCTGCCTGCGCTATGAGCACATCTTCAACATTGAAGATGTCATCCATAGTCCTTAGCGACGCCATGGTCAACCTATAACACTGCATTGACATGCCATTCGGCGGGAGGATACTTTCCGAGTCAAGGAGGGGGATGACTTCATCACAGCGGATGGCAGAATCAAAGTGAGTAAGTCGGGGAGTCACCCTACTCTTCCAGTGCATCTCCCATGCTTGTATGCAAGCAGCATGGCTCTTGCAAGATTGTGCATGTTCAGCGATGACATCGGGAGGCATCCCAGCAAGCCACTTGCGTTCTCGATCAATTGCGCAACGGACCTTGAAATACAAGACCGAGACAGTGGTCGTCATCATATCCAGGTCACGCGACTTCAGCGGGTCCACAGGGCCATAGATAAGTGCACGGAATGCAGGTGAAATCCAGGCGGGGACGCCGTAACGAACTGCTAGGTGAATACGTAGAACGGGTGGACAAGAAGCGCCTTCAAGGAAGTGTAGCGCGAACTGCCGAGGAGCGGCCATCCCCCACAATGCCGACTGGGAGAGGACGTCTACAAGGAGCTCCGTGGAATAAGGGGGTGGGGTCCAGACTCTATAAGGTAGTGAGCTGGCACATGCAACAACAGAAGCAATCAATATATACTCACTTAGCGGGGTACAGAAAGCGCAATAAATTGTCAAATGCGGACGACACAACACCATCAAGTCGTATAGGGTGGTCATTGTCGCGCCCCTCGAGTTGGACAGGGGCCGTCGGCGACTGCGGCAACCGAAACATGTCCGCAAAGACCTGGGAGTGAGTGGAGAGAACCCCCCGGTGCAGGCGATAGAGGTAATTCTCAACCTGCAAGCCGAGGGAGTATTTATAGGACTGTCAGCTAGTATTCAAAGGAGCACACTCATATTACTCACTAGGAAGACATCTGTCCCGTCATCGAAGTAGTACTGCGGGTGTTGCTTAGGTGGTTGGTAGGCATGAACGTTGTCAGGAACACCGGAAACGGACATGTATGCATACGAATCGTCGAGGTGAGCTCTGACTTGAAGAAACCGAAGAGACAATGGCGAGATAATGCAGGAGACTCGACAATGGTCGCTGTCGACGTGGAAAT